GAGCCCTGCCTGCTCACTGTGGCTGTGCTGTTGCCGTGTGCTGGGACACGCACACCACGAGGTGTCAGGCCCGGGCAGCTGCGGCAGGCTCTGCACCTGCACGCCGCCGCGCTCGCCCGCCGGGCTGCCCGTACAGCACGGCCCTGGCCTGGGGCGTGCACACCGAGACGCAGGCACAGCGGCAGAGGTCCGAGGCAGGTCCAAGGCGCCGTCTGGGGTCACCAGCACGTCAAAGGGCACTGGCTGGAAGCTGTCCACGCTGTGCAGCCTGGCACGCTGCCCACCGAGAAGGCCGTATGGGCGTGTGGGCACAGGGCCCACAGAGGTCCTGCCTGCCCTTTCTGGCCCTTGAGACCCTGCAGGCCCAGAAGCCAGGTGGACCCTCCTTCCTGCTTCTGCCCGAGCAGCCTCTGAGCCCAGCATCGCCCTGTTCGCCTGCAGGAGGAGTGGGGTCTGGCCGGGAACCGCGGCCTCCCTGCCCTCGCTCAGACCTGCCAAGCCATCTGAGGCTCCACCGCACGTGTGCTCTGAAGGAGGAGCGGCCTAACCTGAGCTAGCTGCCGTCCAGCCCTCGGGGTAGCTCAGCCTCTCTGGAGCTCTCAGACCAGGGGGGCCTCTTTCCTTCCACAGGGGCTGCTGCTGCAGGGCCCCAGCCCCCTTCCCAAACATGCCCTGAGACTGCGGCCCCTCTCAGGGGCAGCCCCTAGTGACCCCCTGACTCACCTCGCCCCTTCCCAGCCCCAGGCCAGGGGTCGCCTCTGGGTGGGGTGCAGGCACCTTTGAGGATGGCGAGGTCGACTGCCAGGTGCACTGAGGCAGCCCTGCCCATGGGTCCTCCTCACTCCTGTGGGCGTAGGGGTGAGGCTCAGTGGCTGGGGGCCAGGCAGCGTAGCAGCAGGGCACACAGCTGGCGGGCAGCCCCAGGCCCGGTCAAGCTCTCTCTGGGAGCACCAGGGCCAACAACAGGAGGGCAGGGGCTGCCATGTCGGATGGGGCCTGGAGGGAGGGCGTCCGAGAAGCTGCTGGCCCCCCACTGATCAGACAGGTGCCCTGCGCAGGGATGGCCAGCCTAGGCCTCCAGGGGCCAGTGGAGGCCAAAGCTGAGGCCCTGGGGCTGCTCTGCTTGGTTCTGTCCCCCCAGAGCCCTCACTCCATGCAGCAAGTGGACTTGCTGCACTGGGAACCCCACACCAGGCAGGCGAGGGCCATGGGGCTTGGATCAGACCCCCAGCCTCCCCTGCCCCAGCCCACCTGTGGCTGCTGGGCTGCTTTGGGGCAGGAGCAGTGGACCCCCAGCTGACCACCTGGAGGGCAGTGCCCACACGTAGGTGCAGTCCCCCCGGGCAGGTAGGGACAGCCAGTGGGACCTGTGGGGCCACCCCGAAGTGGGCAGGAGGGCTTTAGCTCCTCCCCCAGGAGTCTGCTGTGAGGGCCTGTCGGGCCAGGTAGGGGCAGAGCCAGCTGGGTCTATACAGAGAAGGCACCCAACCAGCCGCTGCCGGTAAGCTGGCCAAGTCCACCCAGCGGAAGAGCCCTTGTCCTGGCCACAGACCACAGGCCACAGGGCAGCCTCGACTGGACGGTCTCCTACAAGGGCAGGCTGAGGGTACAGTCCCTCCGCTTTCCCTTTCTCTTCCAGGAAGCCCTCAGGGACTGCACCTGGGGCAAGGTCCTTCCTCCAGTACCATGAGGCTAAAATCTACCTCCAGGTGGGCTGAACTTCTCAGGGTTTGAGACCTCTTCTCTGCCTGGCCCAGAGCCCAGCAGATTAACCTAACCACAGGCCCCACAGGACCCCACCACCTACCCTGGTCTCTCATGCAGAGGCCCAGCAGGAGGGGATGTGTCTGTGGGGTCTGGTGCCCAGTGGCCTGAGCTGCCAGGGAGCTCTGGGGTCTCGGCATCTTGGTCACCTGGCCCTGCCTGGCAGACAATCTTCCTCCATGGGGCCGAGCGGATCCCCAGCATGTCTGCAAGACCCGCACCCTCTGCAGGTCCAGCAGCTTCCCGTTACCTGGGCCTCGGGCGCTGCTGCCTGGCTGGCCGTCCTCTGCCCACTGCCCCTGAAGGAGCCCTTTCATGCCTACTGGGCACCCGCGGCTTCCCTGGGCCATCCAAGACCAGCAGGCGGGGCAGCTCTGCAGGGCTCCTGGGCATGGCACCCACGGGCCTGTCCTGCCCACCCAGCCTGCCCACAGCCACCTCCATGGTGAGCGTCTGCACACTCGCCGTGGGCATCAGGTCCTCCTGCCAGCTCAGCCGTCCACGTAGGTCTGGGGTCCTGGGCGGTGGGGCTGGCCAGGCGGGGACAGCACTGTGGACTGGCAGCTGCCCTGTTGGAGGAAGCCCTGCCTGCTGCCCTGTCTGGGCGTGGTGACTCCAGGAGGGGTGGGAGGCCGTGGGGCCCTACACTGCACAGGCTGTCTGTGCCACCCTGGTCCCACATGGAGCCCTCACACCCACACCACGCACCCTTGGGAGTCGAACCACGGCAACCTGCCGGAGGGCCGTGGGAGGGTTGGTGCGCTGTGCTGTACGGCCCTCCAGCCTGGCCCTTGGCCTGTATACCGGCACCCGGGAGTGGGGGGACAGCCGGAAACGGGAGGCCAGGGGCGCTGCCTGGGGGCCTTCTTGCGGCAAGCTGGGGGCTGCCAGCTGGAGCCGCTCACGGCTTCGGAGTTGATGGCTCACACGGGCACAGCGGCACCCACCAGGGCCAGCCCCTGGGAACAGCTGTCCTCCCCCCGGCCATGCTGCACAGCTGTGAATGAGGACCTGAAGCCCTGAATGACACTTCCCTGCTGGTGCCTGCAGCCACCGGGGCCACCCCAGTCCCGGACCCAGAGAGACAGCGCTGCAGGCCCTCAGGGTTCTCAAGCAGCAGGCGACCGCCCCCTCTGCAGTGCTCCGGGGCTGGGCCTCTTCTTCCCTGCCTGTAGGATAGGCCCCAGCGGCAGTTCCGCGTCGTGGGGAGCGGTCGCAGCAGGGCCGGGAAGGTTCAGTGCCGGGTGCCGGCAGGCCACGCCAGGCTCCAGGCCCGAGCCCTTCTCCCTGCACCTCTCTCCGGCTGCTGGGTCCTGCCTGACAGACGGCCATCCCGGGACCTGCCTAGGCCTCCACCTTCCCCTGAAGGGGCCCTCCCATCAGGGTTACCTTCCCCTGTCCGGGTGGTGGGAGTGGAACCCCCTCAACTTCCCCAGCTCAGGGGCCCCTGAGCTTCATGGGTGTCCGTCCCCTGCCTTCTGCTGTCCGCCCAGGCCCGGGGGGGTCGCAGGGAGATGGGCCAACCCAGACCCTGCTCCCAGGAGCCCGGGAGCAACAGAGCACTCGGCTCTGCGTGCCTGCTCTCCACATGCCCAAGCGCACGTCACGGCTCACCCCGGACAAGAGCAGGGTGTGGGCTGTCACCGTGTGCCATGGCTTGTGACAGTGAAGTGGCCCCCATGGTGATAGGGGGTGGTGACACCTCTCTGAAACCCACATTGGAAAGGAGGGCCCCGAAGCTCCCGGGTGACTGGCAGTGGCCTGGGGCCTCTGTGGCCCAGGCCCATTATTGGCCACGGGGCTCCCTCTTGGGGCTCCCGCTCGGGCTCCAGCACCCGGCCCTCCTCCCCAGACGGCTACCCGGGGCTGCAGGAGGAAGGTGCGGGCTGGGCAGGACCACCTTGCTGGTTCCCCAGGTCAGAGCTCTCTGCCCACAGAACCGTCACCCCCCTCCAGCCCTCCCGGACAAGCCCCTCTCCCTGTAGGCCTGGCACAGGCGAGGGGCACCCGGGGCTGAGAACCGCTGAGCCGGGCGCCTGGTCGCTGTGGCCACGAGGTAGCGTGGTGGCTGCCTCCCAGTGTCCTCTGCTCCTGCTCTCCGCCCTGGGCCTTGCACGTGGCGAGTCCCCTCCTCCACCCACGGGCTCTCTGGGGTGTGGCCAGGGCCTTCTCCCAGAACCCGCCCTGGGGGTGCTGAGGGTCTGCCGTGTGGAAAACCGACGTGCTCTTTATTGGGGGAGGCAGCTGCAGCTGGCCCTCCCGGCCACGCCCGGCCAGCGCAGCACTGCCCATCACTGGTAGCCAGCCAGCTGGAGGACGGTGGGGTAGCGGGCACGGTGGGCCATGCACTTCTGGCGGTCGATGAAGAGGCTGTTGGTCTTCACCGCGATGTCCTTCTCTAGGCCCATGCGTGTGTCTTCGAGGTTCCTCAGTGACTGCTCGGCTTCTAGAAGCTTCTCCCTCAGAGCCTTGAGGGACAGGTTCAGCTCCTCCACTTCGCTCACCAGCCTGTGGGGCATGAGGGAACAGCACGCATGAGGCCCAGTCCACCCGCCTTCCAGGACACAACTCTAAAGAGGGGTCCTGGCCAAGACCCCACAGAAGGATCCCGTGTCTCAAGGAAGCCCCCCAGAAAGTAGCCCTCCGGGGCATGCACTGTGCCCTCCGACAGGTACGTGCACAGCAGTCCTGGCCTGGTGCTGAGCAAGGGGGGCAGCTGGTGCGCGGGGCTGCGCGCATCCGTGTCCAACAGCGACCCGCGGGCAGGGCTGCGCGCATCCGAGTCCAACAGCGACCCGCGGGCGCCACGGCGCGCCGCCGGGGCCCACAGCGAAC